ACACACACACGCACACACACACACACGCACACACGCACACACGCACACACGCACACACGCACACACGCACACACGCACACACGCACACACGCACACACGACCACACGACCACACGACCACACGACCACACGACCACACGACCACACGACCACACGACCACACACACACCTAAGGCAACGCCACGACGCCCGCACTTTCCCCACACTGGCTTTCCTGGCGTTGGCAGAGCAGGCTGTTCAGCGGGAACTGGCCGCGCCGTGCATCGCGCACGAGAGACCAACACGTTGCTCTCGCCGCAGCGCAGCGAATCGTTTCCGGAGAGCTGCGCTGCCGCTCGGGCCTGACGCAGCGCACGCTTTTTGCTTTCGCCTGCCGGCCCCGTCGGACACGGCCCCACCCCTGACAGGGCGCGATGCTGCAGTCGCCCAGGCGCCGCGAATGTTGCCCTGGTCGTGTGCCTCCCCCCCTCTCTCTCTAATGTTCCTCCTCCTCCTCCTCCTCCTCCACCCCCATCCCTCGGCGGTGGACACACCTCCCTTTCGTAAACCACCCCTTTGTGAAACCGCTCTAGGACCGAAACCGACGGCCCTGGACCCACAACAATGACGGCCGCGACGCCCTCTCGCGAACCGAAAACGGCCAATTCGCTAATCGACGTGTCAGGGTAGGAGGTCTATCAACGTGTCTATCAATCTGCGAATCCCTTCCTCCGCTGCTTACTCAATCCTCCTCCTTCTCCTCCTCCCCGCATGCTCCTCCTGTATTCCGCGTTCTCCCTCCGCTCTTCCTTCCTCCCTCCTGCCTCCTCCCCCTCCTCCCCTCCTTTTTCCTTCCTCTTGCCTTTTCCTTCCTCCACTCCTCCTCCTTCCTCCTCCTATCCTTGTATCCCCTCCTCCTTTCTCCTCTCCCCCTCCTTCCTCCTCCTCTCCTCCTTCTTCCTCACTCCTGCCTTTGTTTTTTTTCTCTCTCTCTCTCTGCCCACCGCGACTCCCTCGGCTCTTCCGTCGGCTCTTCCCGGAAGCCAAGCGTGGATTCGAGGGCGATCGGCGACTCTGCCTTCAGCCGTGCGCCATCGTTATCCATCAGCGACCGCTGACTCGACCCCATGTACAACACCTGGGCTGAGGCCATCGCAGCCAGAACGCGAAGACCTGCTGCAGCAGGTGCCATTCATCTGCCATGGGCAGAGAGGGCTCCGGCGTGCAATCCTGAGTACGGCAATCCTGCTGGTATGCCTCGATGCTGCTCGGAGGAACCCGTCACCGTGCCCCCAGGCACGTTGAGGTGGTCGGGTGCCAAATACCGTGGGGGCTCTGGACGAGGAACCCTTAGTGAAGGAATCCAGGGTCTGGAAGGAGATGGAACACCGATCGTGGATTGACCATGGATGTAACCGCCGCCCTGAGCAGATAAGGAGTCCTCCAGGGTCTGCAGCCTCCTGGGCACATTCGTTAATTAACAAGGACGTGATGGGCCGGGCGCACGTCCAACACACTGATTACGATGCGGTGCTGCTGCTGGTGTCGCCTTTTCTTATCCCGCGACCGCAGAGGAGAGTCGGAGGAAGGGGGAGACAACTTTGGATCGAGACGTTGCCAAACGGACCCGAGGCCGGCCGAAGAGGGCAGCGCCCAACAAGGCCGACCCCGACTCCCTCAACGAGCGCCCCCGCCGCAGGGGCCTCCGCATCTTCCGAGGGCCCCTGCTGCGCGCGCATCGCTCCCCCTGCCATCGCTCGGACGTCCATTCCCTGTGCTTTTTTTGGTTTCGTGCGTGATCTTTTCGCCAAATGATCAAGGATGCTACTCGATGGTCCTCGCCGAAGGAAAAATGCACACGTCCGAGCGATGCCGAGTCCCTGCTCCCCAGGCCACGGCCCCTCTCGCAAGCAGCAGGGGCCCGCGCTCCCCCGGCCACTGTGCCTCGCAAACCTCGGCCACCCGCACGAGTGAGCCCGGGTGAGGGTGACCCTTTGGTGCGCGATCGTTGGAGGGCCGCGGGGGGGGGCCAAACACAAGAGCGCAACACGCTACCATCGCATCGCGTTCGGCGATGGGGGGGCCCCAAGGGGCCCGCACCGAAGGCCACTCAGCCGAAGACTCACTCTGACGTCTAGTCGAAAACAGGAGCAGGGGGTCCGCGCTCCCCGGGCTCCGAGGATGGCCGAGGCAGGCAAGCAAGGCCGGCAAGAAGGCCCCAGACGCCTCCAAGACGGCCCCCAAAAAAGGCACCACGACGGCCCAAGATGGCCCCAAGGCGGCCCAGGATGGCCTGACGACAGCACACGAGAGGCCCCCATGACGGCCCAAGAGGGCCACAAGAGGACCTGAACGTTGGGCCCGAAGAGGCCCAAACAAGTGATTGTCTGAGGGCTTTTCCGAAGACTTGGACGTCTTCACCTCTCCTGGCTTCCTGCAGCTCCAGACGGGCCTGGAGGCTTCCAAGACGGCCCCAAGACGGCTCCCAAACGGGCTAACAATCCACCACGACAATCTGGAGACAGCTGCATCGGGCGCCTGGACAGCCCCAATAGAGCCCCAGGTTGGCCCAAGATAATGTCCGGAGGGACCCAAGACGGCCTTAGAGAATCCCTCGGCGGCCCAAGACAGCCAGCCCCACAACGGCCGCAGGAGACTTCCGGCCCAGCACGGCCCCAAGACTGCCCGAAGTGGCCCAAGAGACCCCGAAGACTGCCGCGCAAAGTCCAACAAAATAATGGAAGAACATGAAGACGACGAAGACAAGAAGAGACCCCTGAAATGCGCGGCTGAGCGTGTCACATGTTACGGCTCTCCCAAACCTCGGGACACACGATGTCACACGGTGTTGCGTTCTGTGTGCGCCCCCCGAGTAGCCGCCACCCAAGTTGCTGGGCTGGCATGGCCGCGGGGTTTGTCGCAGGCATGTCTGGGAAGCTGGGCGAGAGCTGCTAAAACCGTGGCTGCTAAAACGGCCCTCCCGGAAGGAAAAAACAACCTCCCGGAATAAGGCGCGGCACGCGAAACAGTCAACGGACTTCGTCCCGGAAAGACGAAGACAACTTCCCGGAGGTCGATTTTAGCAGCCACGGATTTAGCAGCCCTCGCCCGGCTTCCGAATGTCTGCGGGGTTTGTCGCAGGAAGCGGGATCTCCTCCTGCTCTTCTACGCCATGCCATGCCGTGCTCTACAATGCATCGCGTACCCTTTCGGGATCATTGCCCTGCTCGCCATCCGACTGAGCGAGTAGAGAGGGGACCTGCGCCATGGTAAGGGATGGGAGGGAGGGGTAGGATGTTAGATATGACGCGAGCGCACCTAGCTTGCCTCCTCCCCCTCCTCTCCCTCCCTCCCTCCACCCCAACCTTCCCCGGTATGTAGAAGCTTCGATCGCCACGTCTCACCGCCGCACCCTCCGCTGGGCGTGCGCCCATGTGGAACACAGCCGCCAGGGGGGGAGCGCGATATGGAGAGGAGGAACAACAGCGGCAGGAGCAAGAAACGAGGGAGGCAAGGCAGCGCGGACCTGCGCTGGGACTGGAGCCTCTTCGATATCCTCGAAGTTGATCTCGATCTCCTGCCAGGCCGAGGGCGCCGGGGGACGTCTGCCGACGTCCGCCGACAAACGACTAGCGAAGTCCGCCAGCCCCCTTGGACGCCACCAGGCTGCGTGGCGTAGGTGCTCTGCACCTTGCGCTGGTTCCAATTCCAAGTTTCCAACGTGATAGTTCTACTCTCTTCTTGGGATTCCTCCTATTGTAATTGGCTTATTGTCCGCGCGAGAGCGGGGAACCCCAAACCGTCATGGCCGCCATCCCCGCAGTTCGTTGCCGGATTTTTTCTAGTAGCTCTGGGACACGTCAAGGAACTTGAGATTCGCTCCCCCGAGGCATGATCCCTCGTAAATTACGCCGGGCTCGTGTTCCCAAGACCCGCGTTGCCGAAGCCAGAACCCTTGCGTAAACTACGCCGAGTTCGCGATCTGGAGGCCAGGGCCCTATGCAAATTGAACAGGATTCGTGGCCCCGAAGCCAGAATCGACTGCAAAGTGTTTACAAGTTGCGCCACCGAGGCCAGATTCATTTGAAATGTATTGCAAACATGCAGGCTCCTTAGGGCGAACATGTTACAAATTGCGCCAGATTCGGGCTCCCGAGATGGTCCTTGCTTGGCACATTGCGCCATTTTCGCGCTCCCGAAGCCAGAACCTTTTATAATCCACACCAGATCCGTGCTCCCCGGGCCCGATTCTGTTACACATGAAACAAGGTCCGCGCTTCCTGGGCCAGAACCCTTTCTGCAAATTACGCCCGACTCGTGCTCCCGAGTCCAGATTTGTTTTGCAAATTGCGCCACATTCGCGCTCCCGCAGATTCTGGCACCTGGGCCATACATTTGTAACATGTATAAATGGCTCTCGACACCGGGGCCGAAATCCTGTGCAAATCACATCATATTCGTGCCCTCGAATCCATAATCTGTGGCGCACTGCGCCAGACTAGCGCTCCCTAGGCCAGAAACCGTTCTAACTTACACAAGATTCGCGCTGACGAGGCCAGAGTCTCTTATCAATCATACCAATTTCGCTATCCCTGGGCCAGACTCCTTAGTAAACTACGCCAGATTCGTGCTCCCGACAGCAGAATCATACAAATTACGCCAGGCTCGCGCTGCCGATGGCTTAATCCAATGTAACTTACGCCAGACTCGAGCTACCGAGGCCAGAATCTGTAGTGAATGTATGTGGATTCGCGCTCCCGAGTTAAGACCCTGTGTGCGTTAATCAAGAAGCGCGCTCCCGAAACCAGAATTTTTAAGCATTGCACCGGACTTGGGCCATCGAAACCACACACCCTCGTCCGAGGCTACGATCGTTTGTAAATTACACGCGGGACGCGCCTCCGAAGTCACGACGTCTCGAAAATTGCGACGCGCTCGCGCCCCTGAGGCACGAACCCCCACACATCAATGCGCTTGCTGAAAACCAATCTCCCTCTCATGGTGTCCCCAGACGTTTTCGAAACAGCGCCGACACTCTGACACACACACACACACACTCACACTCACACTCACACTCACACACAGGATGAGTCAGAATGGTGCGGGAGGACTCGGGAGGACTCGTAGATTCCAAGGGCGGCGCTCCTTCTTCTATACGGATTTCTTTCCAAATCCTATATGAAACAATTATTTCCCATGCAATCCACCACACGCGTTCTTTCGAAATTCATATACGCAACAATGGTGTTTTGTTGCGCACGGCTGTTGTGCGCGCAGGCGCTGTTATGTTCACTGGCGCTGTGGTGTACGCAAGCGCTGTGGTGCACGCAGGCATTGTGGTGCACACTGTCGCTGTGTTGCTCACGGTAGCTGGGTGTGCATACGCGCTGTGGTTTACACAGGCGCTGTGGTGCACGCGCGCACTCTACTAGTTCACACAGGCGCTGTGGCTGTGGTGCGGATCGCCACCTACATGCTGCTCATACCCGTCCTCGGTCATTCCTAAGCATTCCCAGACGCCGCCGGCGCGAAACGCGACGTCACCGCCCCCCTTCGCCCGCTTCGACCCCCCGTGACGGCCCTTGAATGAAGAAACAAGCTCGTACGGGGCGATCCGGGCACCCCTGCAACGCTTTCGACGAGACGCTGGAGCGGATCAGGAGGCTGGAAAGCCACCGGGCACTTACGGAAACACTGGAACAAAAACGATGCGATAACGGGCCCAAGTGACCGAAATCTAATGATAACGCTTGCCCTTTCAAAACCACGTCGTCGGAACTCAGCAAGGCCCGTGCTGTCTGCGCTCCGCGCTGCGCTGAGCGCGGATACCTTTGAGCTCTCGCGCTGCCCCGCTGGGGGGAGGACAAAAAAGGACGAGGACGACGAGTATAAAATAGAGGGCAAAAAATCCACCCCCAGAATCACCCACCCGACAAGCGAGGCCGTTTACTAAACGCCCCCACTGAAGAAACCGAACAAGGCAGGGCTGCTTAGTAATTAAACGCCCAAGGCCGTTTAGTAAACGTCAATTGTCCGGTCCGGGTGGTTTCTCCTCCCTTGATAAAAAGCAAACGAGTACCTGCTTTTGACCACCCACACTTCCAAACGTGAACCAAAAAATTACAAGCTCCCCGTGGAGTGCCCGCAACTGTCAGGCTGCTCGACGAGGAAGCGCGTGGTATGACATTTTCTCTTGGAAACGAAAGCGGGGTAGGTATTACACGCTGTGGGAATCGCGAGCCGCGAGCCGCGGGCAACCTCGCAATTTGGATATGATGCGGCTGGGAGGTGCAAACTGGCTGGGGCCCTAGAAAAAGCGGCCATGAGGGGGGTTGACGCCAAGTCTGCTCAAAATCGGTCCCCAAACACCTCCTGGGGTCCATCTGGTGCAGATTTTCACCCCTGGATCCGTCTTTCACTTCACGGTCCCGGGGGCCCGAAAACGGCACCTGGCGACAGGAAAAGGTCACACAAATATACTGAATCGAACCTCGCCTCCCGCTCCTACTCGTCGGAAACGATGTCTTCATGGCCCCTGGAAACGGCAAGGCTGTTTTTTCGCACCGTTTCCGGGAACAAATGTCACTTGAAACGGAAGAGGCAAAAACCACGGCTCTGGGATTAGAGCTGGAACCGCAGCCGGAAAAACGGCGACGGAACTGGTCCAAAAACGGCGCCGGAACCGTCAACAAAAACGGCGACAACCAACGCCGTCACACCCCTCGCCCTTCGCATTGCAATTGAAATTAAGAGCAACGCCGGCACGGAGGAAGAGGACGACCATAGAGGCCTCCCAAATGGGGTCGGAGTAGATGTGGTCGGAAGATCGCACCGCATCGCCGATACATCGGCGATGCATCCGCGATGCATCGGCGATGCACCGGCGATGCATCGGCGAAGCAGCGCCGTGACTTCATGCGCATTGCAATTTAGTTAAGAGCAATACTGGCACGGAGAAGGAGGGATAGACAAGCGCGTTCCACTACTCGCAAAAGTAACTACTCGCCAATGACCTGGATCCGCCAAGGGGGATTCGCAATGCATTACACACGCGGCAGATAATTGTCTTTCTCGCACGTTTGCGAACAAGCACTTTGCTGGCAGCGGAACACGCTCCGTGAAAGGAGGAACACCAGAGGAGAGACGGGAAAAGGAACGCCTCCTCCTCCTCCTCCTCCTCCTCCTCTTCCTCTTACTACTTCTCTTTCTCCTCCTCCTCCTCCTCCTCCTCCTCCTCCTCCATGCTCCTCCTCCTCCTCCTCCTCCTCCATGCTCCTCCTCCTCTTCCTCCTCCTCCTCCCTCCTCCTCCTTGTCCTCCTCCTTCTCCTCCTTCTTCTCCTCCTCCTCCTCCTCCTTCTCCTCCCTCCTCCTCCTCCTCCGCCTCCTCCTCCTCCTCCTCCTCCTCCTCCTCCTCCTCCTCCAGGAGGCATACAGGGCCTGCCGTCAAGGTGCCGCGGCCGCGCGGGGCTCCTCGGGGTTCGTCGGCTGGGGGGCGGGCTCCGGCTCGTCCTGCGCGCGCCGCCAGCTGCGGGAGGAGCATGGAGAGGAGGATGAGGAGGAGGGGGAGAAAGAGGACGAGCACGGAGGAGGAGGAGGAGGCGGAGGAGGCAGAGGAGGAGCATGAGAAGGAGGAGGAAGAGGAGGAGGAGGAGGAGGAGCATGGAAGAGGAGGAGGACGAGGAGGAGGAGGAGGAGGAGGAAGAGGAGGAGGAAGAGGAGGAGGTGCAGGAGGATGAGGAGGGGGAGGATGGGGAGGGGAGGAAAGGGAGGTGGAGGAGGAGGCGGAGGAGGAGCATGGAGGAGCAAGGAGGAGGAGCAAGGAGGAGGAGGAGCATGGATAGGATGAGGATGAGGAGGGGGAGAAAAAAGACGAGCACGGAGGAGGATGAGGAGGAGGAGGATGAGGAGGAGGAGAATGGAGGAGGAGGATGAGGAGGATGAGGAGGATGAGGAGAAGGAGGAGGAGGAGGAGGAGGAGGAGGGAAGAAGAGGAGCATGGAGGAGCATGGATGAGGAGGAAGAGCATGGAGGAGGAGGAGGAGGAGCAGGAGGAGGAGGAGGAGGAGGAGGAGGAAGAGGAGGAGGAGGAGGAGGAGGAGAGGGAGGAGGAGGAGGAGGAGAAGCATGGAGGAGGGGGAGGGGGAGGGGGAGGCGGAGTGGGAGGGGGAGGAGGAAGCTGCCGCACGCGTGGAGGACGAGGAGGACGAGGAGGAGAAAGAATTTGCGTGCGCCGCTGGCTGTGGGCAATCTTCGGCATCCAGGGGCCCTTGCCTTGCTGGACTCTGGGGCCACCGAACACCTGCTCCAGGGATGCAAGGCTGGTCTCCTGGAAAGGGGGACCAGACTCCTGCGGAGCCGCGCCGTGCAGAACACGCCGGTGGACGTCCGGGGGAAGAGGCTGCGGGAGGGACAAGACGAGGGGGACGAAGGCGGAGGGGCTGCGAAAAGCGTCCCTGGCCCAGGGCGGCCCCGGCTCATCCATCGCGTCGCTCTGGAGCGCCCTGGTGGCCCTCCGTCGGCGGCGAGCGAGGGGGGGGGGGAAGGAGAAGAGAATACTCCAAATTTCGTAATAAAGGGAGGGGGGTCTCATTTCGGGGGGGGCTCTCTTCCGGGCTATCTTGGAGGGCCTGGGGGTTTGGGGACGATGTTTTGGAGGGTTCTCCCACGGGGGAGGTCTGAAATGGCTTGTCTTGGAGGGTCCAGACCCCCTCCCTTTTATTACGAAATCTGGAGTACCTTCTTGGAAGGTTCGGAAGTCCCCTGGTCTTCTGACAAGTCTCCTAAGCCTTCCCCGAAGGCACGACAGAGCAACTTCTCAGAAGGCGCGAGGGGGGCTCCCGAGAAATCGCGTCGCCTTCTGAAACGGCCTTCTCCTTCTCACCTCCCCCGCTCGCTCGCCGCCCATGGAGTTCCCTGGGGCCCCTCCTGGGCCTCGCGAAGGGCCCCTCTCGGGGCCGCCGGGGGAAGCCTCCCTGTGGCAGCCTGGCTCTGTTGCGCGCGCGCCGCGCCGCCCGGCTGTGGGCAGGCGAGGGGCGAAGGAGCGACGGACGCCAAATCTGGGTCGGGCATGTCCTCCTACGAGCGGACTCTGGAAGAACAATGACAAATTCGCCCACCCCACGGGCCAGAGGCGTGCTAAGAACTCGGGCAACTGGTCTACAACTGTCTAGTTCGCCCGCGTGGGGCGACCCCTGGGGGCCCTCGAACGAAAAGTACCTGGACAGGTCCCGGCCAGGTGAGGCCCAGAGATGGCTTTCCTCCTCGGCGCTGCCTTCCAAGCTTTCCCGAGCGCCCCAGGAACGCTCCAAGAGCGCCCCGTGACGCGCTCCAGACGGTCCGAGGGGCCCTCGGTCGCCGCCAGACGGCCCAAGACGCCGCCAAGAAGCCCCAGGAGAGCCTCAAGAGGCTCTCCTAGAGAGCCTCAACAGGCAAAAAGTGCCCAAGTCCCTTAAGATAACGTACATTTTGCCCATCTACGACGTTTCGAGGTCCAGCGCGTCCAACACTGCCCAAGAGACCTTCAAGATCGCCCCAAGACGGCCCAACACACTCCCAAGATGGACCCAACACTGCCTAACAGGGCCCCAAGACGGTCACGAGGCCCCCTGGACAGTCCTAGATAGCCCTACGAGGGGCCCCATCGGGGGAGCTCGAATTGAACTTTCCAGCTTACCGCCCCGCACGATCGTCCCAAGACGCCCAAGATGGCCTCCAGACGCTCTAGACGGCCGAAGACGCCGCCAAGAAGCCCCAAGAGAGCCTCAAGAGGCTCTCTACGACGTTTCTAGGTTCAGCGCGTCCAACACTGCCCACGAGACCTTCAAGATCGCTCCAAGACGGCCCAACACACTCTCAACATGGGCCCCACACGGCCCACGCGGGCCCCAAGACGGCCCACGAGGCCCCTTGGACAGCCCAAGATAGCCCTAGGAGGAGCCCCATCGGAGGAACACGAATCCCACCAGCCCTTTAGGGCGTAGGTGGTTTAGGGTGTTTCCTCTTCCACCCCCTTCTTCCCCTTCGGGGAGGAGTTTACCCCTCCCCCTACCCCCTCCCCTGGACCTGGAGGGGGCGTTTCGCGTGTCGTCGGAGCGTCCAAAATGGCCTCGACGAGGAAGCCAAACTCATTGTTCTACTATTGTGCTGGCTCCATGTTGGCCTCTTGGGGGGGGGGCAGCGCTACTTGAGGGGCACCCTTCTTCGAGCAGTCTCCCCCGAGATGGCTCCACGAGCTGCTCAGTGCGACTGCCTGCAGCCGTGCGTCCTGCGGGGGGGAATCCCGCCTGCCCGAAACAGGCTACTCCCAACGGGGGGGGAGGACGGGAGCGGTGCGAGGGCCCGCGCCGATCGGCAAGACGATTGATACCTGCCCGAAACAGGCGCCGACAACAGCCAAGGTCTACTCCGCGGGGGGGGGGGGGAGGGGAAGGTGCGAGGGCCCGCGCCGATCGGCAGAACGATGCCCAAGAAAACGATCTACCCTACGACGACGACGCTGACGACGACGTTGACGACGACGTTGACGATGGCGATGACGATGGCGATGACGTCGTCGACGTCGTCGTCGTCATCGACATCTGGCGGCTCAATCTGTTCGAGCCTCGGGCCCCCCAGACCTCCCGGCCCCTTCCCAAGGGGGACAGGACCTCGCCCCGAGCCGCCTCCCCCGACCAGGGCCGCGAACAGGCGCTGCACGGAGCAGGCTCTTAGCAACCCTATCCGTGGTGCTGCGTCCTCGTTTTGGAGAGGCAGCGCCCCGCGTCCACTCCTGCCTTCCGCTGCCCCCTGCTCCCCCCTCCCCTCCTTGCCTCTGCCCTCCGCATGTCCTCATCGTCATCGTCATCATCGTCCTCATCCTCATTTCCATTTCCGTGCCATCACCATCACCCGCAGCAGCGTCAGCATCAGCACCCTCATCACCATCACCCGCACCAGCATCAGCATGATCATCAGCATCAGTATCAGCATGAACAAGAAACATCAACACCAACATCATTATTATCATCAGCATCATCACCGCTACCACTATCCTCCTCCTCCTCACCATCATCGTCACCATCATCAGCATCAGCATCAGCAAGGGCATCAGCCTCAGCCTCAGCCTCAGCCTCATCCACCTTCTCCTTCTCCTTCTCCTTCTCTTTCTCATCCTCATCCTCATCCTCATCCTCCTCCTCCTCCTCATCATCGTCATTCTCGTCGTCGTCATCACCAGCATCCTCACTAGCAGCATCATCATCGTCCTCATCATCACTTTCACCACCCTCATCCTCATCCTCATCCTCATCCTCATCCTCATCCTCATCATCACCAGCATCATCACTACCACCATCATCACCATCCCCGTCCCCATCCCCATCCCCATCCCCATCACCACCACTATCATCAACAACAGCAAAATCATTAGACCAGCTTCATATTCAGCACTGTTATCACCAGCACCACCATCAGCATTAGCATCTCTGCGCCCTCCTCCGCAAGGTTTCTGCTTCGGCAGACCCCTCACACGTTGTGTGACCCACTAATTACAAAACTTTAGCGATGGCTGCAACGGCAATGTCCGCATGGCGGTGCCGCGCCCATGACGGCACATACCTCACACATTTCATAACCCAAAAGGGAGCACCGAAGGCATCAGTGACAAGGTCCGCATGTAGTTCCACCCCCCTTTCGGCGCACCCCTCACACGTTTCGTGGCCCCATCGGGAGCTCCACCAACACGTTCCAATGGTAGGGTCCGTATGCAATCCCCCCCCTACATGATCCAGGGTTACCCCCCCTTCCCCAATGTATATGGGGTCGACCCGGCCCCACCCCAGCTGGATGGGTACGCCCGTGAGCTTCGCGAAGGCCTCGCGAATGGGATCGCCCCCCTCCCCCCCCTTGGTCGTGTCCCTGTGGGTGTGGCGTGGTTGATGGTAGAGGGTGGACGGCGTCGGCGTCGGCGCCCGCGGAGTCGTCGTCTTTCACACGCTTCGTGTCCACATCGGGAGTTCCACCGAAGGCACCAGTGGCAGAGTCCATATGGCAGCACCCCCCTGGTTTCGGCGCAGCCCCTCGCTAGTTTCGTGGCTCCACAAGCTCCACCGAAGACCCCAATGGCAAGGTCCGCTTGCGATTTCACACGTAATTTCGGCGCACCCCTCGCGGCCCCATCGGGAGCTCCACCGAAGACCCCAGTGCTGGGATCCGCATGCCTCCGCGACGCGGCTCTTCTGGCGCACGGGGATCAAGCAAAGGGCCAGCCTGGACCGGGCCATCTGGAACTACGGCATGATTATGGACCACGCCATCCTGCGCACTAGGTGCGACGGCGCCAAACCCGAGGAGGCGATCGCCAGCTACCACACCACATGGCACGGGGCCCAAAGATCCTCACACATTGATCCAGCTCGCAACCACGGCATGATGATGGACCAGGTCATCATGTGCACAATCACGACGGCGTCACCTCTGGTGAGGACCACGTCATCCTGCGTACTGGGCACAAGGGGCGTCACCCCTGAGGAGGTGAGCGACAGCTACCCACCACATGGGACAACGGCGTCATCCCAGAGGAGGTGATCGACAACTACGAGACCACGTGGCACAGGGCCCCGGGATCCTGACAGATCGATCGGGCTCGAGACAGCTTTGGGCACGCGCCGGCCTGAGGGCTGGCACATCGTGCCGGGATCATCCAAACGACTCGGCATGCCATCAATCTAGATCTACGGTCCGCATGCAGTTCTCCACCCCAGTTTGGTGCACCCTCGCGCGTTTCGTGGCCCCATAGGGAGCCCCATCATTGGCCCCAATGGCTGCGTTCGCATGGCGGCGTCGTCCCATTTCGGCAAGGAGGACGAGGACACTTTCGAGGATGAGGATTCGGAGGATGACGCTCGGGGAACGCAACGCCGCATACCCGAAACAAGGAAGGTGTGAAAGAGCTGGGGAGGAAATGGACACGAAACGGCGGCGCGCGAAGCTCGCGCCAAGAAGTGCATCACCCCGCAAGCCCGCGACCACTTTCCTCTAGCCCCCTGCTCCTTCCCACCTGCCTCGCGATACCCGAAGCTGCTGATGCTTGGGTCCTTCGCTCAGGTAAACTGGGAGGCAACTGCTGGGAGGTCTTCGTCGGAAATATGAAGGAGGACTAAGCCCCACTGGGAGGCTGTTGCGCCAGATTGGGGATGAAGCGGGATTAAGCCGGATTGAATAAACGTGATTAAGCCAGATTGAGCTGGATTTCGGACCAGGGAAAGATCAAAATTTGACCTCCCAGGAAATGCATACGACGATACATTGCATGCCCGGGCACATCGATCATCAATCCTCCCCCGATCCCTGAAGTCCCTCCCTCCTGCCCCCCTCAGCCACGAGAAGCCCACGCTGCGCTCGCTGGCCGGGGCGGCGGGCCACCTCGTCGTCGTCCAGCTGGAGGTCGATCTCCTGGGCTCGTGATCGACGAAAGGGGGGGATCAACAGAGAGGGGGGGGGAGGGGGCCCCTGCATCGACTGCATGCGGCCTGGGGTGGTGGAGCGGGAGAGGAGGAGAAGGAGGAGGAGGAGGAGGAGGAGGAGCAAGGGTCTGGGGTCTAGGGGGAGGGGGAGGGGAGGAGAGGAGGGGAAGGGGATCAACTTGCTGAGGCGGGGGATGCCAACGCATCGACTGCACGCAACACGTCTTACCACGCGCTTCCTGGCGCCCGCATGCATCCTCGCTTGCATCGAGGAGGGGGACCCTCGCGGCGGAACAGAAAGCAACTGCATGCAACGGATATTGCAGCCGCACTGGACATTATCCCCCTCCTCCTCCCCCCCACCCTCTCTTCCTATCTAATCCCTGATCCCCCCTTGTCCTCCTCTTCCTCATCCTTCTCCTCTCCTCCTCCTCCGCCGCCTCCTCCTCCTCCTCCTACTTCTCCTCCGACTCCTCCTCCGCCTCCTCCTCCTCCTCATCTCCTCCTCCTCCTCCTCCTCCTCCTCCTCCTCCTCCTCCTCCTCCTCCCCCTCCTCCTCTTGTCCTCCTCTGGCCGTCGGAGCTGCCGCCACGGCGGTGGTGGCGCGGAGATGCTAGCGGTGGCGACCGCGCGGGTGTGCGAACCTCCAGCTGCGCAGCTGGTGCGCGCAGCCATCGTGCTGCCAGGGGGGAACGCAGACCAAAGAAAGGAAAAGGAGGCTTTCCTGGCCACGACGCGCCTCGGCCGCGGACAAGTTCCGCGACATGGGCCCAGGGAACGGCCCGAAAAGCAGAGCCCCCTCCTGAACCCGAAGCGATCCTTGTCTCGGCGTCTTGGCTGTGTATGACGGGCCACAGATCATAGAAAAGGCAAACAATCGCGCAAACGTCATTTCTCGGAGGTCCACGCGGATTTCTTGAGTCGGCGCTGGACCTTCCTCCCTCGGCCGGGAGCGCAGCACGGGTGGCCTGGCGCCGATCCAAAAAAACCGCGCGGACCGCCGAGAACTGATGCTTGTATGTCGATTCGTATTCTTGAAGGCGCATGGGGGAGGAGGGGGAGGAGGAGGAGGAGGAGGAGGAGGAGGAGGAGGAGGAGGAGGAGGAGGAGGAGGAGGAGGAGGAGGAGGTGAGGAGGGTGAGGAGGAGGAGGAGGAGGAGGAGGAGGAGGAGGAGGAGGAGGAGGAGGAAGAAGAGAACCGATGCTCGTATGCTGATTATTGTTCTTGTATGGGGATGCTTGAATGGCGCAGTCGTCCAGCGGGTTCAGGAAGCGCTGGCGACTTGGGTTGAATGGCGCAGTCGTCCAGCGGGTTCAGGAAGCGCAGGCGACTTGGGAGGCGGCTGCGGGTCTGAACTGGTCGGGCCGCGAGAAAACTTGTCAAAATGGGGGGATCACGCCAAATCCGCTCACACTCGATCCCCAAATCTCTCCAGGGGCCTATATATGATGCAGTGACTCTCTTGCGCAGCGGTGTTCCAGAGCTCTGACCTCTTGATCTTCGTTCGCCGTCCGTTCGTCGCTCGTCGTTCGTGCCCCTCCCGGCCACGGAAAGAGGAAGGAAGCGACAGCCTCCTGTCCCTCGCAGCTCCCTCGCAACTCCTTGGTGCAAGAGCCAGGGCACGCGCGCCACTCGTTCATCCCAGACCCGTCTTGGACGCTCCCGGAGCACGGCCCCGGAGGCCGAAGAAGGCAAAACAGCAAAGCAAAAAAACAAAAAACGGCAACGCCCGCACTCAGAACCTCTCGAACCTGGCACCCCCTGGCTGCTGGCTGGAGCCGGTGTTGGGTCGGGCACGTCCTCCTGAGGGCGGACTCTGGGAGGAAACAGGACGGACAGTGCAACACATGTGCAAACACAGAGTTGGAGACGTTGGAAAGATCGTCCGCAGACTACTTCTCGCTTCACCTTCGAATATCCCTCCTGCAGAGGGCCGCGCCCGACCGAAAGCCAAAGCTGGGCCTCCTCAGACCGCCAGCGGGCGGCCTCCGCGCGGCGCGGGCGACCTCCGCGCGCCCCGCGCCGCTGGCGGGGGGGGGGGCGGCCGCGCCGTGGCCGCGGCGGGGGGCGGGAGATCCGCACGGGGGGAGCCCGGGAGCGGTGCGGGGCACAAAAAGCAGACAGTCCACCGGCACCGTACGCATACGAGCACCTTTCCAAGGTTCCCCTTGCATCCTCGTCGTCTCGACCCATCTCTGGCCACTCTCGCTGGCCGCGCCCCGCTCGAGAACCCTCGAGAGGGCCGTCCGAGGGCCCCTGCACCCTCACCGCGCATCCTCACGAGACGGGCCCGCTGTAGCGAGGAGCACCGGCCCCCTTCGCCCGGGAGCACCGGTGTGCGGCCCACTTTTCAGGAGAGCCACGAGTGAACGGGCCCAGGGACCCACAAAGAAATAGACACACACACACACATCCCAGGATCCCCCATCTTCTCCGATATCATACGGGTTTCGTCTTCCGCCCCCGCCCCACCACTTCCCATATTTCATACTTTTTTGTGAGAGCCGACGATTAAGTGTGTCTGTGTTTTTCTTTCCCCTCCTGAACGACGGTGGGCTCTGAATCGACGGCGCGGGAGGTCCAAGCAACAAGGGACAACCTGTTCTACATATTTGGTTACGTGTTTGCTTGTGGTCTTCGTGCAAGATAACCTACGTAATCTGGTGGTGTTAGGTCGGACCTGTCCCGCTACAGGGGGATTTTGGGCGAAAAGTTTAAAAGACTAAACAAACGCTCTAAACATAATCAGATATGGTCAACAAATAATCCCAAGATTATGATTTGACTCTGTTTGGATATTCCTCCTGTCGAGGCCCGACTTAATGGTGGTGTGGGGGGGGAGGAAGATGCCGGTCGATTCTCTTTTCGACTGGGGCAACCCCACGTATGCCCGCGCGCGCCAGCAGGTACCGTGTGTCCCCCTTCTCGACCTGCGCAAAACCAGACAGGTCAGGGTATCCAAGGGGGGAGCTACACTGTCAATGTCTCGCTCTCCTGGGGCTTTGCTGTGTTCCTGCTAGTGAGCATTTATCACGTGTGCGGAGCTACACTGTCAATGCCGCGCATTCTTCTGGCTTTGCTGTGTTCCTGCTCGCAACGCACACCGCCAGAGGCGGCTGAGAGCTTGAGAGATCCACCTACCCAAATAATCGAATCAATAAATCGAATCGGCGATCGAAATGAACCGGATCGGCGGCCATCGGCAACCGAATCGGGAAAAAGGTCAAATCGGCGGGGATCGGCAGGCTAATACGCCTCCAATGGAAAACCGGGCCCAAATCGGAATCCCAAGTCGAATCGAATCGAATCGGAGGAATCGAAATGAGCCCTGTCAGGGTAGCCAAGGGGGGGGTGAGGGGTGTGGGGGGGAGCGGGCGGCCCCGAGAACAAAGGGCGATCGCCGGACCCCAAAAATTAGCAGCCTCCGGGCAGAGGGCGCATCCACAGACTGGTTGACGATCGAAGCATCTAGTCTCTTCCTGTCGCTCCCCGTCGGCTCTTCCTCCTCCTCCTCCTCCTCCTCTTCCTCCTCCTCCTCCATCCTCCATCCTCCGTCTTCCTCATCCACTTCCTCCTCATCCTTTTATTATCCTTCGTTCTTTGGTCCGCGGGCCTTCGGTCCACCTAAGCATCAGTGACGACTTCCGCCTTTCCGCCCCCTCTCAGTGTCAATGGCACTGTACCATTACTTGTAGGCTGCACGCGAAGTGTACGGTGGCTTTGTTTGGGCAATACGGCGTGCAGGCGCCTGGCACACCTGACCTGTCCTGACGAAAAGAAACGGGCCTCGCGCGAGGCTAGCGCTCACGCGCGACCTCACGCAAACAACTTACGCGCGAAATGTCCGCGCAGTCGAACCCGTTTCTCGCCGTCGCTCCTTTGGCGGCGAGCCCAGGGGGGGAGGCAGAGGGGGGCGTGCCTTCTCAGAGGGCTCAGAAGGCCTCCAGCCTTCTGAGAAGCTGTCTAAGAGGAGGAGGAGGAGGAGGAGGAAGAGGAGCAGGAGGAGGAGAAGGAGGAGGAAGCGGAGGAGGAGGAGGAGGAGGAGCAGGAGGAGGAGCCTTTTCCAAAGACGCAGGAGGCTTCTAAGAAGGCGCGGCAACTTCTGGCAGGCCTCCCCGCCTCCTGAGGAGGCCTGCCCCCCCTCTCGCTTCCCCCCTGGGCTCGCCGCCGACTCTCAGTGTACCGTATGACAGTTGCATGCCAGCCGAAACAGACCGACCTGCGGTGCGTGACATATGTAGCCGGGTGGCGGGCCTGGCGAGGGGGGTTTCGATGACCGGGGCTCGGCTCTTGCAAGCCTGGCGGTGGCTGAACTTTCGTTTCTGCTGGCCCTGATTATCCTAACACGCTGTGGGTCCCCGCGTTTCACTTCGTGCCGAGGTTGCAGCCGCGCGAGACATATTTCGCAGATACAGCTTCGTATCATCATCTCGCAACACGTGTTGTGACGCCCTTTTTCTGAAGGCCACCAGATGGTCTCTGTGCGAGGCCTCGTGTTTTATCGGCTTGGCAGAAACATGCCACACTAGCGCTGCGAACATGGTGTCCAGACACTTGGTTGACGGTTTACCGCCGTTTCTGGGCCCTCAGAAAACGATCGGAAACCTTTGCACTATGGCGTAGGGGCTTTCCAACTCTGAGAAGATCAGACAACACAGCCCGGGATAGAAACACTGTTCTCAGCAAGAGGTCGGGGGCTCTCGGACCCACGTATAAGGAAAACACGGGATCGCAGGTCTGGGAGGGTACTAAGAAGAAACAGGAGGAAGAAAGAAGAACACGAAATGTCGAGCCACACCTCAGACATCTGGCGGCCGTCTGGGACGATCCAGGCACCCCCCATAAAGTTATCGACGAGGCGCACCTGCTGGAGGACATCCCGAAGCTGGAAGAACCTCCGCGAACAATACTGGCGAAAAACCTTAGGTCTGGGTCTGAAGGCCGTCGGGGTCTGGAGGCTGTGGGGGCCTCTCTGGAACTCTTGGGGACACCTTGGGCGGGGGGCGCTTCTCGCAACACCTGATTTGGCAGGATCCGTCAGCATCTAATCGGGTCGCATGGGCCCGAAGTCGAAATCGAAGCGAATCGGTCAGGCCACAATGCGCGCACAAGAGCTGCTGTCGCCCTGGCGACGTCGAACGAGAACTGAGCCACCCCAAAAAGGCATAAACTAAGCTGTGAGGACATCGAACGTGCACTATGTGAAGCCTCCAGCAATCGAAGACGCCTTGGTGAACGGGCGGAGGACTGTATTGCAGCTCAATAAGGGGAACATGGGGGCAGCGGGAAGGGAGGGATAGAAGAGGAGGATCCCGAGGAGAATGCAGAGGAAGAGAAGAAGGAGGGGGAGGAGGAGAAGGAGGAGGAGGAGGAGGAGACCGTGGATGAGAAGTAAGAGAACAAAGGGGGGAGGAGGAGGAGGAGGAGGAGGAGGAGGAGGAGAGGAGGAGGAGGAGGAGGAAAAGGAGGAGGAGGAGGAGGCGGAGGAGGCGGAGGAGGAGGAGGAGAAGGAGGAGGTAGATGATGACGATGATGATGAAGAGGAGGAGGATGAGGAGGAGCAGGAGGAGGAGGCGGAGGAGGCGGAGGAGGAGGATGAGGAGGATGAGTACGGGAGGAGGGGGAGTAGGAGGAGGACGACGAGGCGGGGGAGGAAGAGGTGGAGGAGGAGGTGGAGGAGGAGGAGGGCCAGTGTAAACCCAAGAGCCATCAACGATGGTGGACTACAGCTCCCTCCACGCGCCCTATTCATAGGCCTCTAGAACGGTTCACCTCCATTGAGGAAACTGCCTCGTTGGAAAACAACCGTTTGAAAACCCTGACACATGCCAAAACATTGTTCTCGGGATTCCATCGCCACGGATTAACATGACTGTTGTGTATTGACGATCCTTGATCGCGCCAAAGAGCAATTCTTGAAATTTCAACACCGCGAATGAAAAAAAAAAAAAAACTGCTGCAGCCGCAAAATCCGGAGTCCCTCCAAAACACCATTTTGGTATGTTGATCATGGGGAGCCGTGAAACTCTTGCAAATGTGAGGAACGAATGCGCGCGGCGCTGAGGCGAGAACCACATTTTCAAAAGGAACCGCTCTCAATCCGTGAAACTCTTGCAAATCTCTAAAAACGAATGACCGCGAGGCGATAAGGCGAGAGCCACATTCTGAACACGGGTTGTCCTCAATCATCGAACCTCTGGCAAACTTTTAAATATTCGGTGCGCGGCGCTCAAGCGAGAACCACATTTTGAAAACGGGTCGCCCTTAATCCGTGAAACTCTTGCAATCTCTAAAACGAATGTGCGCGGCACGAAGGCGAGAGCCACATTTTGACAACCACCCGCCCTCCATCTGTGAATCTGCTGCCGACTTTTGAGCTTTAGAACCGTGGATGGTGAGGAAGTCTCAGGCGAAACGCCCGGCCCGCCCTAAAAGCTGGCCTCGGGGTGCGATAGGGAGAGGTTATTCCTAGGGAGAAGGAATGGAGGAGGAGGAGGAAGAGGAGGAGGGAGGAGGAGGAGAAGGAGGAGGAGGGAGGAGGAGGAGGAGGAGGAGGAGGAAGAGGAGGGGGAGGGATGGTCCTCCGGGTTCGGCGCCGCGGCTCTGCGCTCTTCGGCCACGACCTCGTGCGGAGGCGGGTGGGACGCGCACGCAGCGGGCCTCCTCCTCCTCCCCTCCTCCTCTCCTCCTCTTCCTCCTACTCTGCTTCCCCGTTCTCGCGTCCTCCTCCTCCTCATCCTCCCCCCGCCCTCCTTCGCTCATCCCCCACTACCCCCTCCTCCTCATCTCCTCATCCACCTCCTCATCCACCTCCTCCTCCGCCTCCTCCTCCTCCATCTCCTATACATCCTCCTCATCTACCTTCTCCTCCTCCTACTTCTCCTCCTCCTCCCTCTCCTCCTCCCTCCACCTCCACCTCCACCTCCTCCTCCTCCTCCCATTATTTCTACTCGTCGTCGTCCTCTTCCTCTACACCTGCACCTCCTCCACCTAGTCCTCATCCATTGCGTCCTCATGCTCTGTCGCCTCCTGGTCTGCCTCCTCGTGCTTTACCAAATCCTCCTCCTCCTCCTCGTCCTCCTCCTCCTCATCATCATCATCATCACTATCACCAGCACCATCACCACCACCACCACCATCACCATCATCATCATCACCACGATCATATTTATCATCATCACCACCACCACAACCACCACCACCATCATCATCATCATCACCATCATCACCAGCATCATCACCATCATCATTATCATCATCATCAGCATCATCAGCATCGTCATCATCCTCATCATCATCATCATCATCATCAACACCACCATCCTCATCCTCATCCTCATCCTCATCCTCATCATCATCATCATCATCATCATCATCATCACCACCATCACCATCACCATCACCATCACCATCACCATCACCATCACCATCACCATCACCATCATCATCATCATCATCATCATCATCATCAGGATTCGCCTCCTCCTCCTCTCCTCCTCCTCCTCTCTCTCCTCCTCCTCCTCCTCCTTCCTCCTCCTCCTCCTTTTCCTCCTCCTCCTCCTCTTCCTTTGCTTTGCATCCTCATGCTGCTCCTCCCCTGCCCCAGACATTCGACGGCGTGTTTTTTTCACTGCGGCCTCCCCCAGGAGGTTCCAAAACCTCGCGTCGATATCCCTCGACGACGCGAGGACGTCAAGGACCTGCTTGGCCAAACCTCCTTTCCAGGAGCCGCCTTCTCACCTGGGCCGTCCCTGTCAAGGCCCCGGGGCGCGGACGAGGGACAGGGGGCCCCGAGATGCCGAAGACTGCCGCGCGCCTTCCGCCGTGCTCGTGCACTGCGGCGCGAGGATGTCAGGGCCCCAATCCCCCGGCCTCCTCCTCCTCCTCCTCCTCCTCCTCCTCCTCCTCCTCCTCCTCCTCCTCCTCCTCCTGGGCATCCTTCGACATGCTCTGCCAGCCCGCGGCCCCGGAGCTCCCGACCCCTTCCTCGGGGGCAGCGTCGCTCTGCACCCCGAGATCGAGCTGCGAGGGCACCGGGGCCCGAACGCGGCCCCCCCGGATCGGGGGCGTGGATTAGCGATCCGTGGATTCGGCGCGCGGCCGCCAAATCCGCGGATCGGGGAGGTGCCCTCCCCAAAATGCGGCCTGGGCCGCCTCCTTCGGCGGCGGAAATTTTTCCCATGGGGACGGGTCCCGTCGCTGATCCACGCCCCCTTTATTTGGGGGGCGGAAAGATACGGATACGTGTTGTCCCCGGACCTCTCTTGGGGTGCGTTCTGACCAGAATTTCGAGGCGAATCCAGCGGTGACAACGAGGATTCCCCAGGAGGGCCAGGAAAGGCCGAAAACGAAGGGGGACAACACGTATCCGTATCTTTTTCTCCCCCGATTTATCCATGTTTGCGATCGCCTGACAGAGTCCAAAGACTCAAGGGCAGACGCCGCGACTCCTCCTCCGGCTGCACCCGGGAGAGCGACCCTGGGCACGACTGGCCCCTGGTTCGCGGCCTTCGGCTGGGCGCCCAAGGAGGCCACCTCGGAGCTGGAGGAGGAATTGGAGGAGGAGGGGGGGAAGAGGGAGGAGGAGGAGGAGGAGGAGGAGGAGGAGGAGCATGGTCCTCGATCCCCCGTAAGACGAAGACAGGACGAGGAGATAATCGGGCGAGGAGCAACTGAGGACCTTTGTGAGATCCGGCGGCTGTGGAGGATGTCTCGGGCGCCGCGGCCTTCCCAAAGCGTCCCAGAGCGCTCTGGGAGCGTTCCGGCACGCTCCGGAACAGACTTCTCCTCGTCCTGGCCGCGTGCGACCCTGTGAGCCCGCGCCAGAGCTCACCCTGGCGAGGGCAGAGGAGGAGGAGGAGGAGGAGGAGGAGGAGGAGGAGGGAAGAGGGAGAAGAGGAGGAGGAGGAGGAGGAGGAGGAGGGGAGGAGGAGGAGCGGGAGGAGGGAGGGAGGAGGAGGAGGAGAGGAGGAGGAGGAGGAGAGGAGGAGGAGAGGAGGGTGGAGGAAGGGGAGGAGGAGGAGGAGGAGGAGGAGGAGGAGGAGAGGAGGAGGAGGAGGAGGAGGAGGAGGAGAGGGGAGGGGAGGAGGAGGAGGTGGAGGGAAGAGGGAGGAGGAGGGAGGAGGAGGGTGGAGGGAAAGAGGAGGAGGAGGAGGCGGAGGAGGAGGAGGCGGAGGAGGGAGGAGGAGGGTGGAGGAGGGAGGCGGAGGAGGAGGAGGAGGAGGGAGGAGGAGGAGGAGGAGGAGGAGGAGGAGATGGAGGAAGGTCCTGGGGCCCCCAGCTCGCGTCCTGGGGGGCCGGCCGGCGCGGGAGCGGCCTCGCGCTCCTCCTGCGCCGCGCGCCTGGCTCGCGCCTGGCGGCGCGCTGCAGGAGAGGGCGCTTGCGCGAGGGGGGGGAGGAGGCCGATCCTCGATCCTCGATGGCTCCCCCCCCCCTCGATCTTCGATCTTCGATCCTCGATGGCCCCCCCCCCTCGATCTTGGATCTTCGATCCTCGATGGCTCCCCCCCCCCCTCGATCTTGGATCTTGGATCTTCGATGGCTCCCCACCCCCTTCGATCTTCGATCTTCGATCTTGGGAGGGGGGGGAGGTTCGTCCTCGTCTCCCGATCGACGACGACGCGCCGATCCTGGGCCCTCCTCCGATCTTGGGAGGGGCTGGTCCTCTCCTCTCCCGATCGACGACTACGCGCCGATCCTCGGTCCTCCCAAACCACCCACCCCGCCTCCCTGCACCGGCCTGGCGGCTCGCACCGAAGCGCGGCGGGGGGGACGAGGCGAGGAAAGTCGCAGCACATGAGAAGCATTCCAATTCGGCAAGGATGCCCTCCTCCTCCTCCTCCTCTTCCTCCTCCTCCTCCACCTCCTCCTCCTCCTCCTCATCCTCCCCCTCCTCCTCCTCCTCCGCGCTAAGGATGGGGTCCGATTAGATGGAATCGAAGAATATCCAATGCATCGCCAACGCATCGCCGATGTACCAGCGATGCATCGGCGATGCATCGGCCACGACGTCGATGCATCGGCCACGTCGGCGTGGGGAAGCACGGGCTCCACATCGAGCAGCACCGTCGATGCATTGGCGATGCGGCGCGATCCTCCGACCCCATCTACTCGGACCCCGTCTAGGAGGCTCAGACTTCAGATGTCTCTAGATACATCGATTCAACAATGCGATTGCGGGCAAAGCTTGCGCGAATGAAACAACGACGATGCCAATATGAAAACGTAACAGAAAAAGGATCATCTTGACTCGGCAAGGAAACCTTCAGGTGTCTCAAGATACATCGACTCAACAGTGCGATTGCGAGCAAAGCTTGCCCGAATGAAACAACGACGATGCCAACGTGTGCATGCAACATACGAACGGCTGGCATGCAGTCAGGCAATATGGCGGGCATTCGCACAAACAATAGAAACATACGATGATCCACCGACCCCTTGGGGTCTACGGCGTGTTCACTGCTGCCCCTTCCCAAACCCCTCCCCGATGGGGTTCTGTCCGGCCGGTTTGGGGGGGGAGGTCTGTGAAACAGAAAGGCTTGCGGACTCAACCTTTTCTAACATGTTCCTGGACGGCCTGCGTGGCTTCGGCAAGGTTTTTTTTACGGGCTCCTGGACGATCTCAGATGGCTCCCGACCGCCCTGAGATGGATTCAAGACAGCCCACGGAACCTCCAAGACGCCACAAGAGAGCTCCCAGAGACCCCATCAAGAGGGCCCCAACAAGCCCAATTGTGCCCATACCCATTTGAAAACTTCTGAATTTCGAAATTGGCTCCGAGATCCTGACCAACGACCCAGAACGGGCCAAGAAACCTCCACCAGTGCCACACGACGGCTCCAAGCGTCCACGGGGCGGCCCAAGAGACGCCCACAGGGACCCCGACACGGACGCAACACCGCCCAAAATGACCCATGACGACCCAACACGGGCACCACCACCCAGCTCACAATGGCAACAATACGGTCCGCAATTCGCCGCAAACGGCCCAGGAAGGCCTCCCGAGGCCCCGCAAACGCTCCAAGATGACCCACAAAGGAGTCCCGCGAAGGCCCCCTCAACAAACCAGAATTACTCCTTTCAGACGTCTACGGCGCCGAACTTGTGGTGGGTTTGCCGCTGTTTGCGGTTCGTTCGTGACCTGGGCGCGTGTCTTGGAAAGGCCCATTTGGTGAGAATCGTACCGGCCTGCCACGCGTTGGTGGCCTGAGGGGACTCGAATGGTGAGACCCCCATGGGCTTACCACGCGTTCGTGACCTGGGCTCGTGTCCTGGGAGGACTCAAGTGCCCAGGATCCTGTGGCACTGCCGCTCGTTCGTAGCCCGGCGACGCGAAGATGGCGAGAATCCTATGGTGCAGACGCGCGCTCGTGACCCGTCAGAGCCAGAAACATGAAAATCCGACGCCCCTGCTGGAACGCGTTCGTGACCTGGGAAGGTCACATGATATAGGATGTGTTGCAAGAAATCGTGGCCATTGGGATTACACATGCTCGCCACTTCTTCAAAACATGTGATGAACTCTCAAACGATACGCCGATTCTAGCAACGAGTCTGGCATCGGCGTCCTACCTCTCCCCTCGGTGGTTCTGTTTGTACAGCCGTTGGATACACAGTGCATCGCAAACGAGGCAGACGAGAGATGCTTCACGAGTGGAGCAGTTTGGGTGCTTAATGAGGCATGCCGAGACTCACGTGCGACCCCATTAGGCAATCCCGCGGCGATGAGGAATGAGCAAGAACATCTCGACTTCACCGAGCCTCCTCCTTCTCCTCCTCCTTCTCCTCCTCCTCCTCCTCGTCTGCTCGTCTGCCCTCCTCGGCCACGCCCTCGTCTTTGTCCTCATCCCCTTTTTCCTCCTGCCCTCCTCCTCCTCCCTCTTCCTCGTCCTCCTCCTCCTCTTCTTCCTCCTCTTCCTGCTCATCCTCCTCCTCCTCCTGCGCATCTCCTCCTCCTCCTCCTCCTCCTATCTCCTCCGACCTCATCCTTCGGACCTCCTGCTCACGCGGGCTCCGCGCATTGAGTTCTTCCCGGCAGGGCCGCCGGAGGGATTGCGGAAACAGCTGGAGCAGTTTGCTACGCGCACGAAGCGGCGCAGGAGGGAGGCGACGGCCCTCGCCAGGGAGCTGGGCTTCACCGGCTTTATCCGCGAGTCCTGACTTGAAAAGCGACCCGCCCGAGCCTCGCCGTCTCTCGACGGTCTGACTGTTTGGCTTCGCGCCGCGGGCAACTCGCGCGCGTCGCTGGGGCCCTCTCGGGGCGACCAGCGCGCGTCGCGGGAATTCCGCACTGCGCTCTGCCCAGAGCCTCGCTCGCCCCCGTCGGCTCTCTGCCCGGCGGCCACAGCCTTGCCCGCTATCAGCCAGCCAACTCTCTTTGCTCCGCACAGCGGACGACCCGCGCGCGTCGCCGGGACCCCTTCGGGGCGACCGGCGTGCGTCGCGGGGGCCCCGTGTGGCGCCGCGCCCGCAGCCTCGGACATGGGCGCGCACGGGCAGAAAGAGAGAGAGAGAGAGAGAGACAGAGAGAGAGAGAGGAAAAAAAAAAATAACGGGAAGGAAGCGGGCGCGATCCTCGGGAGGAGCGCGCCGAAATGGGCGTCGACGCTTATGCGCGTGGACTGATTCGCAAGCAGACTCATTCACAATCAGACTCACTCGCGCTCAATCTCTCGCGCGCTGACCTATCGTCTTCGCTCGCGTCGCGTGCCCCGCCACGCATCTCGGCGCGCCCTTCGCACGGTTCGTGGCCCCATAGGGAGCGCGGGCAAAGATGTTATTCAGAATTGCGGTATTCACAACTGCGCATGGTTGGGTCCTTCGCCAGGGTAATTTCCCGTTCCTCGGAAGCGCCCCGCCCCCCCCCCCCTCCGCTTCGGAAGCTACCCCCGTCTCCCGTCCCCTGCTTTCTAAGAGGGGGGGGATTAGCGCCCCCCCTCCTTTGGCCGAAGGCCGCCCCCCCGCTCCCCCCCCCCTTTGTGCAGCCCTGCGACCACGCTCCTCCCCCCCTTCACGCTCTGGGAAGAACTAGCCTTCACCCCCTTTCCGATGGGGGGGGGCTTAGCCACCCCTTCCTCCCTCCCTTTGGACGACCCCCCCTGCCGAAAGCCCCCCTCCTCTCCATCCCTTTTTGGCTACATGGGGGGGCTTGGAAGATCCCCCCTTTTGGTTAAAGGAAGGGCGACGAACAAAATGCGCCGAAAAGAAACAGAGCACCGAAAACCGAAGTGCCACCGAACCGAAGGGGCGCCGAACATCAAAGGGCGCCGATTGCAAAAAGTGCGCCGAAAAACGAAAACGCGCCGAAAACCAAGCGAGCGAAGAAAGCAAAAGAGCGCCGAGAACCAAAAAGGCGCCGAAAACCAAAAGGACGCCGAAAACCAACCGGGGGCGTAGAAAATCAAGGAACGCAACAAATCAAAAGAGCGCCGAAAACCAGAGCGGCGCCGAAAACAAAAAGGGCGCCGAAAACCAAACGAGCGTCGAAACGAAAGAGGCGCCGAAAAACAAAGTATCCCGAAAACAACAAAGGCGCCAACAAACCAAAGGGGCGCCGAAGACCAATGGCGCGCCGAAAACCAACCGACAACCAGAATGGCACCGAACACCAAAGGGGCGACGAAACCAATGGATTGCCGAAGACCAAAGGGGCGCCGAAAACCACAAGGGTACGGAAAAACAAAGGGGCGCCGAACACCAAAAGGTGCATAAAACAAATGGGGCACCGAAGACCGAAGATGCGACGATAACCAAAAGGGCGCCGAAAATCGAAAGGAGCGCTGAAAACTAAAATGAAGGGGCCCTGGGACACACAAATAAATACACACAAATAAAATGATTCCCAATCTTTTCCCATATGTTCTAGGGTTTATCTTCCCCCCCACTTCCCATATTTTTCATATTTTCCGTTTCCGGGGGATCGACGATTAATTGTGTCTGTGTGTTTTTTCCCCTCCTGATAGAAGGGCTCCAAAGGGGCATCAGACACTAAATTCCTACGCCGGAAACCAAAGGGGCGCCGAAAACCAAAGAGCACCGAAAACAAAAAGGGCGCCAAAAACAAAAGGGGCGCCACAAAGCAAAAGCAGGCCGAAAACCAACGATGCGACGAAAACCCTAGAGGCACCGAAAACCAAAGGGGCAACACCCAAAATGACGCCGAACACTAAAGGGGCGCCGAGAACCGAAGAGGCGCCGACAACCAAAAGGTACCCAAAACCAACAGGGCGCCGAAAACCAAAAGGGCACCGAAAACCAAAGAGGCGTCGAGAACCATCAGGGTGCCAAAAACCATAAGGGCACCGAAAACCAAAGGGGCGCCGAAAACCAGGAGGGCGCCGAAAACGAAGAAAGTGCCGAACACCAGAGAGGCGTCAGAAACCCCAAAAACGTACAAAACCGATAGGTCTCCGAAAACCAAGGAGCGCGCCGAAACCCAAAGGGGCGCCGAAAATCAAAGGGGCGCTGAGAACCACAGGGGCGCCGAAAGCCAAAAAGCTCCGAAAATCAAAAATGGCGCCGAAAACCAAAATAACGCCGGGAAACAAACGAGCGCCGAAAACCGAAGGGGCGCCGAACACCCAAAAGGCGCCGAAAACCCACATGGCGAGGATGCCAGCGAGGCGCCGAAAACCACAGGGGCGAACACCAGGAGGGCGCCGAAAACCAAAAGGGCGCCGAAACCCAAAGAGCGCCGAAAGCCAAAAGTGGCGCAGAAAACCAAAGAGGGGCCGAACACCAAAGACAAGCCGAAAACCACAATGGCACCGAACACACAAAGGGGCGCCGAAAACCAAAAGAAGCGCCGACAAAAACCAAGACGGCGCCGAAAACCAAATGGGCGCCGAAAATCCACCGCCCCCTGTTGAATCATCTTAAGGGTGCCTGGCGTACTAGATGATTTCGGTTTTGGTTTTGGTTCTTTTCAAAAAGAGCTCCCCCTGGGGCCCTGGCGCGTCCCGCCGGCCACCCGGAAGACCCGGTTGCAAACGGTTCTCCTGCCCCAGACGGCCCCAGGATGGCCCAAGATTGTTTCCAAGACGGTTAAGATGGGTCCAATATGCCTCCAAAACGGCCCAAAATCCCAAGATGCACCCAAGACGGCCTATGATAGCCTCAAGATGGCCTAAGACGGCCCAAGAGGCCCCCAAGAGGCCTCCCAGACGCTCCAAGAGCTCCTCCACGAGGGCCCGAACAGGCCAAAATCATTGATTGTCAGAGTGAGGGGGCCGAACGGTCATTCACTGTCCCTGGGTGCGTGGCTGAAGTGGAATTCCGCGGTGCGGATTCGTGTTGTTGTTTGTTGTTGTTTGTTGTTGTTTGTTGTCGTCGTCCCACCCGCAACCCGCCCCGCGACCCACCCGCGACCCACCCCGCGACCCACCCCGCGACCCACCCGCGACCCACCCGCGACCCACCCGCGACCCACCCCGCGACCCACCCCGCGACCCACCCCGCGACCCACCCCGCGACCCACCCGCGACCCACCCCGCGACCCGCCCGCGGCCCACCCCGCGACCCACCCGCGACCCACCGCGACCCACCCGCGACCCACCCGCGACCCCCGCGACCCACCCGACCCACCCCGCGACCCACCCGCGACCCACCTTCGACCCAAACCACGTTCAAGGTACAAACCACCATTTCTGGCGCCTGCGGCGGGCTTTTTTTGCATCCCTTCCAGGTGGAGAGCCCGCGACCCACCCCGTGACCAACTTGCGACCAACCCGCGACCCAAACCACGCTCAGGGTACAAACCACATTTTTCGGCGCCTGCGGCGGGCATCTTTTGCAGTCGTTTCAAGTGGAGTGCCCGCGGCCCACCCGCGACCACGTTCAGGGTACAAACCAAATTGTTCGGCGCCTGCGGCGGGCATCTTTTGCATTCGCTCCCGGTGGAGAACCCGCGGCCCACCCGCGACCCACACCACGTTCAGTGTACGAACCAATTTTTTAAGCGCCTGCGGCGGACTGCTTTTGCATTCCTTCCAGGTTGGGGTGGAGAGCCCGCGACCCACCCGCGACCCAAACCACGTTCACTGAACAAACCAATGCCGAGGGGGAGGAGGGGAAGGAGGAGGGGGAGGAGGGGGAGGAGGGGGAGGAGGAGGACGAGGGGGAGGAGGATGATGATGGACGACAATGGGAGGACGATGATGGAGGCCGATGAGGGGGAGGACGACAATGGGAGGACGATGATGAAAAGACGAGGGGGGGAGAGGGAGGACGAGGAAAAAGGAGAAGGAGAAAGAGGAGGACGAGGTGGAGGAGGAGGATGACGATGACGATGAGGACGAGGACGAGGACGAGGAGGAGGAGGAGGAGGAGGAGAGCGCCATCGACAGGGAAGGTGGGGGCCACGAGGTCCGCCGGCTCGACGACGCCCGCGTCGCCCGCGCCCGCCCCCTCACTCTTATCCGCAATTTCGGGGTGCTACGTCTACTTATTTTTGAAGGAGTTTTACATTTGCGTCTTTTCGGAATTCCGACGGCTGAAGACGGCCCAAGAGGCCCACAAGATCGCCCTGAGATCGCCCAAGAGGCCTCCAAGAGAGCCCCATGACGGCCCAAGAGGCCTCCAAGACGGCCCGAAGAGGGCCCCAAGAGGTTTCCAAGACGGCCAAGATAGCCTCCAAGACGGCTAAGATGGCTCCAAGATGCCTCCAAGACGACCCAAGATGCATCCAAGACGGCCTAAGATGACCTCAAGATGACCCAAGATGGCCCAAGAGGCCCCCAAAAGGCCTCCAAGAGGCCTTCAAGAGGTCCTCCAGGAGGGCCCGAAGAAACCACAATCTGTGGTTTTCCGTTGGTCTTCAAATATTTTGGAGCGGCTCCCAAAGGCCCAAGACGATCCAAGCGGCCAGCAAGATCGCCCCAAGAGCGCCCAAGAGGCCTCCAATATGGCCCCAGGACGGCCGAAGAAGCCCCCAAAACGGCCCGAAGACTGCTCAAGAGGCCTCCAAGACGCCCAAGATGGCCTCCAAGACGGCCAAGGTGGCCCCAAGAAAACCAAATATTGATTCAAGATGTTTCCAGGAACGGCCCAACATGCAGTCAGGATTGCCCAAGATGGCCTCAAGAAGGTCCAAGACGGCCCCAGAGGCCCCCAGGAGGCCGCCAAAACGTGCCAAGAGAGTCACCAAAAGGCATCATTGTCTTTCGGTGTTTGAAGGGTTTGGGGATCTGCTGCTTTTCGGTCCTCCGACGGCCCAAGACGGTCCAAGAGGTCATCAAGATCGCCCCAGGAGCGCCCAAGAGGCCTCCAAAATGGTCCCAGGACGGCCCAAGACGTCCCCAAGACGGCCCCAAGAGGGCCCAAAGACGGCCTGAGAGGCCTCCAAGACGCCCAAAATGGCCTCCAAGACGGCCCTGAAGCGTCCCAAGAGGGCCCCAAGAGGACCCCAAGTTGGTTCAGGTCGATGCACCCTCCCTGAACCCCCCCCTACATTTCGGCGGCGAACGCTCCCTCAGTGGCGAGATGCCAGATTCAGCGTGTTCTCGAACAGCGTGAGAACGACGTTGGCATCGCCCTTGTTCGTGAAGTGCGTCAATTTAAACGCTTCGCGGAAGCCCTGAACCGTGTGTCCGTTCATGGACTCCACATGCTCCCTCAGGCGCCTCACAGGCTCGTGGATCGCGGCATTCGAGATGTTGTCGAAGCCCATGGAGAGACAGAATTCCAGAAGACACCAGCCTCTGGAAATGTACTCCCTGCCCGCGTCCACGTCGCCATCCATGGGCAGAACAATGACGGGCGTCTTGCCAATGCTATAGATCTGCTCCATGGCGGAGAGCGACTCCTTGAACTGGGCCTCCTCCGCAACTGTGCGCACGGACGGATGCGAGCCAGGCTTGGGCATCCCCGACGCGGCCTCGATGCGCTGCAGCTCCGGGTTCAGCTTGTCGTTCTGGGGGAGACTCATGTAGTCCACGAACACGGCGTGATCGTCGGAGGCATGCAGCATGTCGAGCTGCTGCACGAGCAGCCTCAACTTGACGCCAGTGGGATCGGGGTGCTCCTTTGACAACCACGGGTGCGAAAGGACAAACCTGTTCTTCTCACCAACACGTACAAGTGGAAATCCTCTGCTGCCGATGAACACCTGGTCGAGCGGTACCTCCTGGCAACGCTGCATGATGCCACCGGCTGAGGCCAGCCGCCGCAAGTAGCCGCAGCGCACCCACTTCACCTGCGCCCTGTCCAGGTATTCCAAATACTTCTCGTAGAAGGATTGGAGCTGGTCGTCGGTGTAGCAATTGATGGCAGAGAACGCATCGCGTGCGAGAACCTGCAGGGAGGGCGGCCCGATCAGCCCGGAGAAGAGCGCCACCGCGAGGCAGTCGCCCAGCGCGTCGAGGGCCGCCACCCAGAGAGTCAGGGAGGCACCGTGTCCGACGAACAGCGCAACGCTGGTGGCCAAGGAGAGCGCCAGGGCGAGGGCCGTCGCCACGACGAAACAGGCCGCGCGCCGCTGCGTCGCGCTTCCCGTGGAGAGGGCGCGCGCCGCGGCGGCCAAGAGGCCGCAAACGCCGAATATACACGCGCCCAGGTAGGCGAACAGCACGCCGGCCGCAAGAGCCAGTCCGGCCGCGTGAAAAACTCGCAGTAGCCAGTCCGGCCGCGTGAGAAACTGGTCAGTGAGGTCAACCCAAACTACGAAGCACAACAGCACTGCGCACAGCAGCATCACGGTCGAGATGCACCGCACGGCCAATGCGACCCGCGGGCGCTGCAGCTCCTCCAGCTTGTTCGCGACGATGACCAGCGAGACGATCTTCAGCGCCCCCAGGGTCGCGAACATGAGCTTGATCGGAACCCAGGCCACACGCCAGTTCCCGCACGCTTGGCTCCACGGGTCCGAGGCGAACAGCGCCGCCGCCGCGCCCGCGCCCGCCCCGTAGGCCCTCGTCCACCGGTGCAACGGCAGGCTGGCCTGGAAGCTGCCGCGCACCCACACGCACCAGGCCGCCAGCGCGGCATACGGCACGACCACCTCGCCATCGCTCGGACGTGCATTCCCTGTGCTTTGTTTGGTTTCGTGCGTGGTTTTTTCGCCAAGTGATCAAGGATGCTCCTCGATGGTCCTCGCCGAGGGAAAAATGCACACGCCCGAGCGATGCCAGGCCACCGCCGCCGCCCAGAGCGCGTCCCGCTGGAAGACTTCCCGGTTCTCGTCGGACCAGGACTCTGTGCACCCCCGGCCCGCCGCCGCGGACCAGCACCAGAGCGCGGCCAGCGCCGCCAGGAGCGCCACGGCGGGCGGCGCGGCGTGCCGCGGCCGGGCGGCGGCCTCCGCCGGCGACGGGGGGGGCCCGGGCTCGATCTCCAAGGTCACGACCTGGCGGCTGGCGAGCGGCTGGGCGGCCTCTTCGTCGATGTGGGTGCCCCCGCCCTGGCGCGCCGGTACGTCGAGCGCCATCCCCGGCGCGGGAATCGTTTGCAGCGGCGGCCGGACAGAGAGTCCTGGTCGCGTGCCGCTCGAGGCAGACTGGCTTGAGCCAAAATGGCTACGGACTCCCCCCCTCTCTCTCCTCCTCCTCCTGACCGGCCGTAAGGCCTCTGAGCACAGAGAGAGAACGTGCCCGGGTCCACTTTTCCGCTACCCCCTAAGCCCCAACCCTCAATCCTGAGGAATGTCTGAATGGCCTGGAACCCTTCTTGTCTGGGGCTCCGCGTCTCTTATCATATGACGCGTTCGGAAACCAATACGAGACGCCCTCGCGCATCCTGGAGAGTCTTCCGTGTAACCTTTCGGGGAAGGCTCAGAGTACTTCTCAAAAGGCCGGGGGGACTTCGCAGCCTTCTGAGAAGGCCTTCTCCTTCTCGCTTCCCCCTGGGCTCGGCGCCGACCGCTGCCTCTGAAACCCGGAACGCTCGCGCTGGGGCCGCCGCCACGTCAACGCGGCGCGAACCTGCCGTGCAGCCGTCGTGCTATACGGCTTCCCCTGGGGCCGTGGGCGACCCGAGGAGGAGGAGGAGGAGGAGGAGGAGGAGGAGGAGAAGGAGGAGGAGGAGGAGGAGGAGGAGGAGGAGGAGGAGGAGGAGGGGGCGGGGGAGGAGGAGGAGGAGGAGGGGGAGGAGGAGGAGGAGGAGGAGAAGGAGGAGGGGGAGGAGGAGGCGGAGGAGGAGGAGGAGGAGGAGGAGGGATGAGGAGAGAGGAGAGAGGAGAAGGAGAGGAGGAGGAGGAGGAGGAGGAGGAGGAGGAGGAGGAGGAGAGAGGAGGAGGAGGAGGAGGAGGAGGAGGAGGAGGAGGAGGTGGTGGAGGAGGAGGAGGAGAAGGAGGAGGAGGAGGAGGAGGGAGGATGATGTGTCACCTAAACCCTTCGGAGAAGCCCTCCACTCTCCTCCTCCTCCCCCTCCCTCCTCCTCCTTCTACCTCCTCCTCCTCCTACCTCCTCCTGCCTCATCCTACCTCCTCCTCCTCCTCCTCCTCCTCCTCCTCCCTCCTCCTCCTGCCCTCGTTCTCCTCCTCCTCCTCCCCCTGCGACTCTCCCCCACGGCCACCAAAAAGACGAGACTTGCGGGTGCCCGCGCAGCGAGGAAGTACGCCGACCACTGCAAGTCTCTCCACGCGTCCGAGACTCGGCCAATCCTCAAGTTCCCCCCCGTGGGGGTCAAAAACTATGCGGGCCCCAAGAATACACGCAGAAGGCATCTGTACACCACCACCGTTCCAGGCCAGGGCTCTCCTGGCCCTACTGGCCGAAGCCAGGAGGGTCTTTACACCATCCTGGGGCCCAGGATGGCCATGGCCTGGCACGGTGGTGGTGTATAGATGCCTTCGTCGGAGAATATATACCACCGACACCACCTCCATTCCCCTTCCTCCTCCGCCCTCCTCTTCCCCTCCTCGTTCCTACCGTCCGACCCTTAAAAGCATGATTACCTACCGGTACCACTATCAAGCTGCTCATCTCCCTGCCACTTGACCGATCGATGCCACTTCTCTGCTCAAGAAGATGCATGCACCATTCGGCATCATTATAGATCTCGATTGTTCACACCATCCATCAACCGATCCCACTATCAAGCTGGCTACAACGTTACTACTATACATCCGTAGTGTGCCACCAACAAAACATATATACACATATATATGTATACATACATTGTATATCGTTGCATCTCAATATCACCGTCGACCAATCTCAAATCCATCCAGCGGTGGGACACCACGGCACAAACATCATACAACTACGGGACAACCCTGCGACACCCGCGAGAACCACGGGACAACCACTGGACACCCTCTGGAACCCACTGGAAAACCAGAGGGCACCCACAGGAACCCACCTCGAGGCAACGATCGGGATAACCACGGGACACCCTCTGGAAAACCACGCTGCAACCGCAGGACAACCACGCAACAACTGCGGGCCAACCATGGAGGCAACCATTCAGACAATCACAGGACAACCGCCAGAGCAACCACGGACACAGCCGGACAACCACAGGACGCCCGCGAGGCGGTCAGAGCGCCCGCCTCGAGCTCCTGGATCGAGGAGTCCTCGTAGTAGCCCAGGCCCTGGCGGGGCAGCGCGGCTCCCGGCGGGGCGGGCGCCGGCGGAAGAGGGTC